TGGAGGGCCAGAACAGGTAGGGAGGCCAGGAAGTAGTGGGAGTCAGTTTTAGAAGGCTGGAACAGATGGGGCAGGTCAAGAAGTGGGAGTGGAGCAGTTTGGAACAGCTAAGAGACACGGACTTGTCTGTCAGTTTGTCGTCCTCTGGTGGCTTGAATGCTGCTGTGAGGCTGGACGCTATGCCACCAATGTTTGAAATGCCAACAGGGTTACTCATGGTGGACAGGTTTTAGTGGAGCTTCCAGACTAAGACAGACTTGGAAGAAGGAAGAAACCATCCACTTCCCAAAGAATAGGCCAGTGAAAACCTTATGAAGATCAGTGAAAAACTGTCTGATATATTACTGAAAAACTTTATGAATAGCCCTGAAACATCGTCTGATATAGTGCCGGAAAATGAGCCCCTCAGGTTGGAAGGCACTCAAAATATAACTAGGAAAGACCTGCCTTCTCAGAAGAGCCAACCTTAATGATGTAGATAGAGTAAAGCTTTCGGGACTCCCATTTGCTGATGTGGAATGACTCAAAATGAGAAAAAAAACAGCTGCAAGCATCCATTAATAATCAGAACATGGAATGTACAAAGCATGAATCTAGGAAAATTGGAAGTTGTCAAAAATGAAATGGAACGCATAAAGATTGATATCCTAGACATTAGTGAGCTGAAATGGACCAGTTTTGACAATTTTGAATCAGACAACCACATGATCTACTATGCTGGGAAAGACAAATTGAAGAAGAATGGTGTGGCATTCATCATTACAAAGAATGTATCAAGTTATATCCTGAAGTACAATGCTGTCAATGATAGGATAATATCCATATGCCTATGAGGAGCTCTGGTAGCATAGTGTCTAAGGCACTTGACTGCTAACCAGAAGGCTGGCGGTTCAAATCCACCAGCCACTCCTCAGAAGGAAGGTTGGGCAATCCTACTTCTGTAGTGATACTGCCTCGGAAACCCAAGGAGGAGTCGCTATGAGTCGGGGCCGACTCGACGGCACATAACAACAACAACAACGACAACATGAGGAACATGGTGGACAGGTTTTAGTGGAGCTTCCAGACTATTATTCAAATTTACATACCAACCACCAAAGGCAAAGATGATGAAATTCAAGATTTTTACCAACTTCTGCAGTCTGAAATGCAAACATGCAAACAAGATATGTTAAACTTCATTGGTGATTGGGATGCAAAAGTTGGAAACAAAGAAGAATCACCAGTAGTTGGAAAATATGGCCGTGGTGATAGAAATGATGCTGCAGATAGCATGATAGAATTTTGTAAGACCAACAACTTATTAATTGCAAATACCTTTTTTCAACAATACCAACAGTGGCTTACACATGGACTTCACCAGATGGAGTACACAGGAATCAGATTGACTATATCTGTGGCAAGAGGCGATGGAGAAGCTCAGTATCTTCAGCCAAAACAAGGCCAGGAGCTGATTATGGAACAGACCATCAACTGCTCCTATGCAAGTTCACACTGAAGGTGAAGACAATTAAAACAAGTTCAAGAGAGCCAAAATACGACCTTGATTATATTATCCCTCCTGATTTTAAAGACCATTTAAAGAACAGATTTGACGCACTGAACACCAATGACCAAAAACCAGAAGAATTGTGGGATGACATCAAGAACATCATTCATAAAGAAAGCAAAAGGTTATTAAAAAGACAGGAAAGGAAGAAAAGACCAAAATGTATGTCAGAAGAGACTCTGAAACTTTCCCTTGAAAGGAGAGTAGCTAAAGCAAATGGAAGAATTGATAGGATAAAAACACTGAACAGAAGATTTCAAAGAGCAGCTCGGGAAGACAAAGTCAATTATTACAATGAAATGTGCAAAGACCTGGAATTAGAAAACCAAAAGGGAAGAATGCATTCGATATTTCTCAAGCTGAAAAAACTGAGGGAAAAATTTAAGCCTCAAATTGCAATACTGAATGATTCCATGGGCAATATGTCGAATGATGCAGGAAATATCAAAAGAAGATGGATGGAATATACAGTCACTGTACCAAAAAGAATTGGTAGATGATCTTCTCTTTCAGGAGGTGGCATATGATCAAGAACCAATGGTAATGAAGGAAGAAATCAAAGCTGCACTGAAGGAATTGGTGAAAAACAAGGCTCCAGGAATTGACAGAATACCCAGTGAAATATTTCTACAAACGATGCCCCACTAGAGGCACTTAACTCGGCTATGACAAAAGATCTGGAAGACAGCTACCTGTCCAACTGACTGGAAGAGATCCGTATTTGTACCCATTCCAAAGAAAGGTGATCCCACAGAATGTGGAAATTATCAAACAATATCATTGGTATCACATACAAGTAAGATCTTACTGAAGATAATTCAAAACTGGTTGCAGCAGTATATTGATGGAGAACTTCCAGAAACAGAAGCTGGATTCAGAAGGGGACATGGAGCAAGGGATATCATAGCTGATATCAGATGGATCTTGGCTGAAAGCGAAGAATAACAGAAAGATGTTTACTTGTGTTTTATTGACCATGCAAAGGCATTCAATCATGTGGATCATAACAAATTGTGAATAACACTGAAGAATGGGAATTCCAGAACACTTAATTGTACTCATGAGGAACCTGTACATAGATCAGGAGGCTGTTGTACAAACAGAACAAGGGGATATTGCATGGTTTCAAATCAGGAAGGGAATGTGTCAGGATTGTATCTTTTCACCAAACTTATGCAATCTGTATGCTGAGCAAATAATCTGAGAACCTGGACTATATGAAGAAGAATGTGGCATCAGGATTGGAGGAAAACCCATTAACAACCTGAGATATGCAGGCAACACAACTCTGCTTGCTGAAAGTGAGGAGGCCTTGGAGCACTTACTGATGAACATTAAAGACTACAGTCTGCAGTATGGATTACACCTCAATATAAAGAAAACAAAAATCCTCACAGCTGGACCAATAAGCAGCATCACAATTAATGGAGAAAAGACTGAAGTCGTCAAAGACTTTGTATTACTTGGTTCTACAATCAACACCAATGGAAGCAACAGTCAAGACATCAAAAGACCTACTGCATTGGGAAAATCTGTTGCAAAAGACCTCTTTCAAGTGCTGAAGAGCAAAGATACCTCCTTGAAGACTAAGACGTGCCTAACCCAGGCCGTAGTATTTCCCATCACCTCATATGTAAGGAGCTCTGGTAGCAGAGTGCCTAAGGCACTTAACTGCTAACCAGAAGGCTGGCGGTTCAAAGCCACCAGCCACTCCTTGGAAGGAGGGTTGGGCAATCTACTTCTGTAATGAAACCACCTCAGAAACCCAAGGAGGGGTCGCTATGAGTCAGATTTGACTCCACTGCGCATAACAACAACAACAACATATGCATGTAAGAGCTGGACAATGAATAAGGAAGATCAGAGAAGAGGTGATGCTTTTAAGTTGTGGTGTTGGAGAAGAATGCTCAAAGTACCGTGGACTGCTAAAAGAATCAACAAATGTGTCCTCGAAGAAGTGTAACCGGAATACTCCTTGGAAGCAAGAATGGCCAGACTTCATCTCACCTACTTTGGTCATATTGTCAGAAGGGACCATTCTCTGGAGAAGGATGTCATGTTTGGTAAAGTAGAGGGTCAACAAAAGAGGGGAAGGCCCCCAACCACATGGACACAGTGGCTGCAGCGATGGGCTCAGGTATAGTAGGAATCTTAAGGCAGGCACAGGACCGGGCAGTGTTTCATTCTGTTGAAGGTCGTGA